TCTTCACCAGTGTCACGTGGTGAAAGGCAATCCGCCTCCGGTTTCACATACTCTATAAAATTTGAACAAATCAGCGCACAGAGAATTTGCTGAAGCGAACCAATTGTTCACGTCCTCCCAAAAACTTACTAGAAGTTTTCACAAAAACTTTTCTACAAAATTAATCAAAAATACATTTCTTTCAAAAAGCAATAAATCACAATAACTGAAAAGCATAACTGAATGCTGCTGCCCAGAATGCATGCGATTCTCTTAGTTTGAAGATATGAACCGGCCATTTAAAAAAAAAATTACTGCGCTCTACTATTAAAACTTTGCCCAAAAAACAACATCAGCTTATCTTCTAGTAATGCTCGAAAGATAAGCTATCAACAACCTTGTCAGCGGGAGTTTAATGCAAAAACTTATGAGTGCCCACATAACCCAAAGAAATATGAACGGACTTCTAACTATTCTTTGTAGCAAAAAAAGTCGAAAATCAATTGTTTTGGGAGAATACAGCTGGAATCGTGGTACATCGATCCGCCAATGCAAGCTAAGAAGACATGAGATTGACGACAAACTCTATTTTAGTGACGCTCACAACAAAACATTGCTAAGAATCATTTGCCATTGGTAAGACAGCTTACTAATGCAAAAAGTCCGAAGTATGTACACATAAGCCTGCCACAATCTCATTCAGCAACCTAACAACGAAAATTCAACGAATCTAGGAAAAATTAACGAATGCAGAAAGATCAAACGTACGGCTGAAAAGTGTGCAAAGTTGACTCTGAATTGCTGTTGCTTCGTCGTCAATCATTCTTCCACACAAATAGCAGTATGCAAACCAATTTGGCAACAAATCACTCAGAAACAGTGCTCGATAATAAAACTGAAATTGGTGGCGCAGCGTGGAAATGTGAATACACAGACGTATCAATAGAAGGACGGCTTGCAGAGTACCACTATCACCAAAGAAAACAGAATCTACTCTGAGCAGGAAAACCTGCTCGCTGTATTAACAAAACTGTAGAAGTAGCGTATTACCCGATGCTCCAAATAGGAGAAATGCTATTCAGAGAAGTTCAAAATGATAGTGTATGCAGATTAATGCAGGAAGCGCTAGTAACTAACTAAAAATGGCGCTTTATGATCGAAGAAACAGGCACTTACGAGAAGCCCCATCTAAAGATTAAATGCATACCAACAAAATCACATCTTTATATCCATAGATTATGTCATCTTGGTAGTTATAATGTCAGAAATTTTTTTTGTCAGTGCGAATTATAAAAGAAAACATACGCGGAGATGTTCGAGCATTTTGAGGAGCTGTTGCTTCAGTAGACCACCTGGCATCTCACTCAAGCGACTTCTCAAAACTCCAATAAACGACTCATAACGAGATGAGTTCTGCATTGTTGGAAATGTCGTCTCATGCTGAAATAAAAAGTGAGGCATACGAGAAAATATACCAGCTCGAAACAACATCCAGTATTTAAGGATTTGCTCTTTTCCTCCTCTGGCCCTCCTGTAAGATCACTCTTTTCGAGAAAAGGAATTGCTCCATCGAGTTCTTTTCGGTGCATAGAACAAACCACTTGTTCTCAATCTCAGCAAGCAGATTCAAGGAATTTTGCGCATGAAACAAGTTAAGACCCAAAAAGACAGTGTACAGCTGAATGCTGTTCCATGAAGGGACTGATGGGGAAGGCAAGGGAAATGTTAACAAAGCTTCTCAAAAGAGATAACACACTTTTCCACTCCAATCCATTTATCTATCTAGACGGAAAGAAAGGCAGGGTTCGGGATGCCTTTTCGTGAATCAAAACCTAGGATTTCAGCCTGAAAAAGGAGCAAATTTGCTATTCTTCTAAGCCGATTAAACAGTAGCATTTATGGAGCACAAACTAACAAATACCGCATGGAATCAGTAACCTCCGACCTTATAATAAATTCAAAAACAAATTCACCAGAGTGTTCACACTGCACTTGCTAGCAGACTTATAATGATGTTTATTCCTTCCCCGCC